TTCGAACTCAAAGTTTATCGATAAAGGCAGTTTATGTTTGCGATGTTACTCTGAGTGCATATCCACACCGGGCGAGCTTGAAAAATATGCCCGGCCACGGTGGGATTCGAACCTACGACCTTTGGACCAACACAGAAAACAAAATTTATTCTTATTAGTTGTTACATGTGTTGGAGACTGTTATTGTTATAGACATGGAATTTTTCAGAACATTCTATAGGTATTCAATATTATAACATCTCAGTCAAACAATGACAACAGTCAACAGGGGCCCCCACACCAAATATGCCTTAGGGCCCCATCTTCCTCCACTACGCCACTGTAGACAGATAGATGGTTTATTACAAGTTACGAAAATATTTTAAAACTTTCACTAAATATCTCTAAAAGGATCTAAGAATATTCTAATACTTTTACGACGAATAATTTAATGCATTATGTATAATAAAACTATTTTTAAAACGGTTAGTTTGAAATGCAACGTTAAATCTATGACTGGATCTAAGAGTCATATTAACAATATATTTAACAATTTCATTACGTGGTGGAAGAAGTTATAAAGCCTGTGGCTATCATCAGTCACTATTTCTTCAAATAGTTTGTCTGAAAGACCGTCTCTTCGATGGCTGAGTCGTTGGAGGTGATTTTACAGAGCCTGATATAACGTTCAAAATTTGTCCGGAAAAATGTCCGGTCAAAATGAAATTTGATCGGAAACTTTCAAATTTGGGCGGACATTATTTCGATTCCATTTTGATCTTACGCCTTTGTTGGGTTAATTAAGCCAATATACAAATAATACTGTATGGCAAACACTATGGACAGTATAGTTATACTTTTAGATCCAATGTTCTTTGCATGCAGCTAATATGGTTAACCCAGTATGTCCGGACAATGTCCGACCAATTTGGCATTTGGTCGGAAAAACTACGATTTTGTCATGCTCTGTTTTATGACCTGATGAAAATTTCGCATATTATCTCAATACAGAATTATCTATGGAAATAGCCTGTATGGCCCATGAAATAGCCCTTGTTGAAGTGGAAAGATGAACGGAGGATGACGATCTGTCAGAAAACCTGGCTTTTGTGACTAAACGACGTTGAATTTTTGGACGTACAATGTGATTGGTCAACACCATGAGTTAATTGACATGTTTACACCCAGGTGAAGACATTACATTTCGTGATCTTCATTGAATTTTTACAGTTTACGGACAAGGGAATACATTTCGTTTAGCCTGAAAATTTCCCCGAATTTCATTTGAGTTTTTATTTGTGCTTAAAAATAATAATTCATTAATAATTCAGGTCCCTACTGAAAATCGCCTTGGCGAGTAGGTAGGTTACCCGAATAAAATATTCATCATCATCATGAGGAAAAGACACAGAAAATCATTACCGTGTTGGTGGTTTTATATGTGATAAAAAATCATGTTAATTTACATAAACTTTAGGTTTTGATTTCCTCGGCTTAGACAACATTTGTTTTTTAAATTACTTTGTCAATGAACTCATAAGATGGGTCGTTTTTAAGCCATTTAGAACACTCGCAGTCCGTGCTTGATCAGATATAAAACACTCGGCTGACGCCTCGTCTTTGATAGTGCTGTGTGCCGGAGTTTTGGCCTATTTTGCTGGAGCTGGAGTTTGTTCAACTCAGGCAGCACTTCTTTGTGCTGCAAACTACTGTCGGACATTGGCGAAAAAACCTGAATCCATTGACGAAAAAGTAAATACTCGCATTGATACTGCGCAGGCCTGCCACAACCATAGTACGAAATGTTCATGCAAAGTGTTCAAATCAAAATCAAAGATAGAGCTTCCACTTTCAAATTTCCACGAATTTAGCAGAGCTGGAAATTCTCTGCCGGAGCCGAAGGTGAAAAATCAAGAGTTTGCACAGCGCTAGTGTTTGACAGCCTCGTGTTTAATATACAATAAAGAAACCATCGAAAACATTGTTTGTCCGACCCGAGTGTATTGGTATCCCACAGAACTGTAGCTTTGTTCAACATAAATCAAAATGTATCCTAGTCCAGGACTAGAGGCTCGTATGTTAAATGGTGAATCAGAGTAATGTATAATTATAATTGAACTGGAAATGTTGTTTTAATGTAATCGAGCGCGAGACGGCATTTACCGTTCAGAATTAATATATTATGCTGATATTAATTTGTGTCATTCAGACTTATTTCCGAGCCAAACTGAACTGAAGGCCAATGGCCAGCCTAGTCCCAGTCGTTCTGAAGCAAGCGCGAGAAAAAACATGGATGTAGTACAGGTTTTTTTTCAGGATTTTCTCTTGGGTCCGTTTTTGCAGAGAAGATCGAATTTAGCTGAACAGCTGGGGCGGTTGCAGTGCACCCCCACCCCACCCCCCTACCGGGGGGAGGGGGGGGGGCTGACACTTGTACTCAATAAATGTAGTTGAGACGGAATGTGTTAAAGCAGGGGCACTGAGGGACACTATAAACTGGTTAAAGATGGAGTCCAGCCATTTTTTCTTAATTGTCGGGTTTCCAACTGAAAACTAATTTCCACACGTCACAAATTTAACTCAAACAACTTCATTTTTACTGCACTGAAACTTTGGTGAGAAGATTGAGTTTTTGGGGCAGTTTAACGGCCCTAAAAAATCCCTGAAAAAATCCTGGTAGTACGAGACTGGGACCTATGTGTGACGTCACAGCTAAAAGTGCTTCAGAATGCCCAACCTCGTACCCAGGCTCTTTGCGAAGGTAAGAGCCTGGGTACGAGGTTGCAGAATGCATAGCAGATTTCAGTATTTTTAATATGGCGGAAAATTTGTATGTACAAATAACCTTGTAATTACGACAATGTTCGTTGATCATGTTCACACTCAGGCATAAAACTCTAAGACTTATTTAAATATATCAAAGCAGCGTACAGAGAGAGAGCCTGGGACTAGGCTGGTCAATGGCATCTTCATACATACTGTCTGACACAAAGTCATCTGACATTAAGTCAGACAGCCCTGTAAAAGATATTTTAAGGTCTGTACATACCTTTAATATGTCAAAGTAGGTGAATCTAGAGACAAGACAAAGACATTTTGGATAATATGCCTCCATTTGAACATCTTGCCTTAAGTCATATGAACCACTGCTTGAATCAGCAGAAATATTAACGGATGTAATATCACCAATACTGTCAAAGTCCTCTGCTTTTTTAACAAGTGTGAAAGGTTCAAAGAATGACAAGCATGCTACATAACTTCGGTTCCCGACCATATCTGTGAGCACAGACACATAGAACGTTGACGGTTTGTTGTAATATGCTACCTCCCAACCAGCAGGCTGACAGAACTAGATAAAAAAAGAGAAACAGATGCTAAACATTTCTTGTTGACAATCAAAATATTGTAAAATTATATTATTAACTTATTATTAACCGAGCACGAGGTCTTTACAGAGAAATATTGGACCGAGGTCTTTTTTCAGGTCGGTACAGACCAAGCCCGTAGGGCGAGGTTTGTACAAAAAGACCGAGGTCTGATATTTCTCTGTACATACTGAGCAAGCGAGGTTAATAAAAAGTTTATTTATCGCATTTATACTTGAAACAAACAAGAAATACATGATTTGAAATGCATATTAGTAGCGCAGTGCACATTTGGTCGAAGAAAACAAAAAAATACCAATGTTCCTTCTTTTCCACTAAAAACCATTCGCAAATATCTTATTAATAACAATTAGTTTTTCAATTGGTTTTTCTGTTGTGTTTCAAAATGCATGCGTTTGTTTTTACGTAATGGACCGCCATTCCATTACAGGGAAATAACAATCTCGTTCCCCAAGCATGCCTGCTCGGGGAATGAGATTGGAGAAATAATGGACCGCTGAAAGTGCTTCTCACAATCCGCCATTTCACCAGAAGTGATATTAATTGATGAACGAAGCGAGTATGCAAAGTCGAAGCTTCAAGGGCATTGTGAGTTGAGTAGTGGGCAAAGGCTTGCAAGCTTTGTCTATTTGATTTATTGTCCGATTGCAAGACTGGGCTAAAAATTTCAGCTTGTCATGACTGCAAAAGCACACAGCCTGCCTAAAACAAGATGGGTGCTTTCAGTGGCCATGCATCCAGATGCGCCCTACTTTATTATTTTACTCTGTCTAACACCAGACTATTTTACTCGTCAGGGGGAGTACTGCCACTCAATGGGTTAAAACCCCATAGCCATGTGGTAAAGGCACATAGTTTGGTTTGGTTTGCATAGTTGCACTGGTGGCTGAAAGGTTGAGGTATCATGTGTAAATGGCAAATGGTTCAGCGTTGGTGTTAGCACAGTTTGCACCCCGTTTTATTTTGGTGTTTAGTTTAATTATTGAATGGATCAATGTAGCTGCCTAAAACCATTTGTATATTTGCCCTATAGTATCTCAGTTATAACAGTTGTGTTTGTGGAAACACCATGTAAATTTATTACTGCAAAGCTTTCAATCAGAAAATTTTGACCATTTCAAAAATTTCAATCTTTCAATTTCGGCTTACGGATCAAAAGCTTTGCAGTAATAAATTTATGTCGTGTTTCCACAAACAAAACTATTATATGTTTTGATGCTTGTGATGTTACTCTGAGTATATATCCACACCGGGCAAGCAATATGCCTGACCACGGTGGGAATCAAACCTACAACCTTTGGGATACTAGCCCAATGCTCTGCCAACTGAGCTACGCAGTCTGGTCAGTTTGAGTGTGTGATATTTCAGAACAGAATCTAGTTCCTTCGATATCAATGTTATCTAATAATAATCATGATTTTTTCTATGTTGGTGTAATGTACTCAGGTGAATATGATGCTTGTGATGTTACTCTGAGTGTATATCCACACCGGGCAATCCAAAGGTCGTAGGTTCGATTCCCACCGTGGTCAGGCATTTTGCTTGCCCGGTGTGGATATACACTCAGAGTAACATCACAAGCATCATATTCACCTGAGTACATTACACCAACATAGAAAAAATCATGATTATTATTATATAACATTGATATCGAAGGAACTAGATTCTGTTCCGAAATATCACATACTCGAACCGACCAGACCGCGTAGCTCAGTTGGCAGAGCATTGGGCTAGTATTCCAAAGGTCGTATAGGTTCGATTCCCACCGTGGTCAGGCATATTGCTTGCCCGGTGTGGATATGCACTCAGAGTAACATCACAAGCATCATATTCACCTGAGTACATTACACCAACATATTATATGTTTTATCGCAATGCAAACATACAAAGGACGTAGTATCTCAGTTGTTTGGGAAATGAAATTTTTCTCACATTTTTGAAACCAATTGTAAAAATCTAAGACGAATCTAGTCCCAGACTGTGTGTGCTTCGGCACATTTAAATTCAATATGGCAGCCAGAGTGCCAAGTCAGGATTTAGCCGCACATCTTTGTGATATATGTCAGCGATTGGCAGAAAGACATAGATTCCAAAATACTTAACAAATATCCTAGTTTTCTTTAGATTGCACTGACATTTTGCCAATGATGGGATGAATTTTCTGTATTATTATGCAGTATATAAATAGCAGAATGAAGGATTATTGGAAAAATGGACTAGATAATTATAGACATGTCAGAAAACCTCAACATATAATTTCACATTCTATTATTAAGCCATACTTTGCATAACATGGACTTTAACAAATTCAACCTGTTTAAAGCCTTTTCTGAGCAATCATTGGCAAAATATAAAAAGATTTAATTCATTGCAACATAATTTTCTCTTTAAAATACGTATTTAACTTGTCTTCAAATTACCATTTCAACTCCTTCGGGGAAGGTGAAATCCTTTCTGCCTTGAGAAGGGAAACGTTGCAGAACTTTCCCTTTTAACTCGTTCTTGCCAGCTAGAAGGGAAAGGATTTATTGGTGAAATATGAAATATTCAAAATATAAACACACACCTCAAATATGAACTTGCTGTACATATCAACGAAATAAAGTTTTAATATACTTCGCCGAATTTTGACAATCACCAATGACATTAACAAAATGTATAAATACCTGCTGAACTAGCTTTGGGTATGCCGATAACGGCAAAGTAATCTGCCAAACGAGACATGTTAACGAAGCCCTACCCATCACCTTTGATCGCATGAGCCGCCATATTGCCAAACCAACAACGCGATCAAGATTCGCGGCGCACGCGCAAATGGAACTCTAGCTAAAACCTTGCGAACCTGCGAATGGGTTGCGAATGGGTTTATAGCAGTCTACTCAACTTTAGAAAAATCAGGTAATGTCCGGAAAAAGTTTTTATATCTATAAATGTGCTGAAAAAAGTTTTGACCCGTTCTCCTCCCTTCCTCGCCAACAATTTTGGGAAAATAAATTAGTGCTTAAAAAGTTATTTTCGGATAAAATTATGAACTAGGACAAGGTAAAAATCAGGTAGATTTTTTGTTGCCCCCCCCCCCAAAAAAAAATGGTATAAGACTGCTTGCGACGGCCCTAGTCAACAGGACCTTTTAACTATATAACTGGGGGGACAAAGCCCATCCCCCCCACTCAATCATTTTGCCCCCTTCCCCAGCCAAATTCCTTTTTCTCTAACATGGAATTTACGGAAGAAAAGTGGAATTTACCTCAAATTATTTTAATGCCTTTTTAAAAACGCTAAACATTGTGTTGTAAATACCTTAAATTTTGCGGTTTAAATAAATTAGCTGGAGCAGCCTTTTAAAAAGCCTAAAAGGGCACTTACTCCTGATTGGATTTTGTAGGTTTAATTAGAAATGTATAAAATCCACACTCATTAAAATTTCCATCGAGTACAGATGCCCAGCAGGGCCGGATTAACGTTCCGCTGAGCCCGTGGCATAGAGTTTGGCAACCTAGAACGGCAACGACAACGGCGAAAATATAATGCTTATATTGTTGTATTATACGTTACTACACTTAATTTGCCTCTTTAAGTATTCCTGTTTCTTTCAAACGTACCCTTAATAAAAATAGTCCGCGAATTCAAATAAAACTCTCAAATAACATCGAACGAATTGACTGTTGCCGTAGTCATGCACCGTGAAAATGATGCAAATCACGTACTACACACGTAAAATCTCACATCTTAATGTAACAAGTCTGCCAACAAGCCGTCAACAAGATGTATTCCGCACTGCTTGTCACAAGTTGTCAACAGGTTTGGAATAACTTGTTGACAACTTGTAACAACCTTGTCGAAATTATCAGATCTGTGCAAGGTTGTTCTGACAAGTCCATTACATGCTTGATATAACAAGATTGTTACAACCTTGTAACATCCTTGTTATATCATGGCTGTAACAAACTTGTTAGCACAGTCTTGTAACAACAAGTTGTTAACAGCTTGTTTCAAACTTGTTACAACAAACTGCGAACAAGCAGTGCGAGTACAACTTGTTGACAGCTTGTGAACAGACGTGTAACAACTTGTTTGCAGACTTGTTACAACTTGTGCGTTTTTACGTGTGTAGTTTCAACAACTACGGCATTGCACAACGCTTAAGACCATGTAATTTACAGAATTACATTCACCTTTGTCTTTGAGGATTAATGCTATTGTTGATGACCATATTGCCGTTGCCATTGTATTTGCCAAACTCTCTAGTATATCAGCGCCGGGACCCTTGAACTCCCCCCCCCCCCCCACCCAACGGCATTTTAGACACTGAATTCAGTAAGATTAAAAAAATATCCTTTTGTATTTCATGCGTTGAAAAGTTCCAGTGTGTTAACAAAAATAATAAATTATACATCAATATAATAATTTGACCGAATTGAAATTCAACCCAGTTTATACCATTAACATTATGAAACTTTATTAATTTCGCCATACAAAAATACAATTACAATATATAAATACAAACGAAATAATAGATGGCGAGGAGACATAGGCCTCATGAAACCACTGGGCTTATCTAGTGAGGTCACCTCGGACAGCAAATATATACATTAGACTAAATTTTGAACTAAACAAGTCTAGACAAATCTTTCATCACAGCTTGAAGGAGCATCACAAAATTAGTAATATTCCAAAGTTTCGTTGCAAAATGTTGTAAAACGCGGAAAATATAGCCTTGCGAAATTTGCAATTTTCAGTCATTTTAGATTACAAACGGGAAATTGACAGCCCCAAACCCTTCGAGGCTGTCAATTTCCGGTTTGTAATCTAAAATGAACTGAACCTTTCAAATTCAAATCTATAACGTATTGTATTAATTTGACAGCTCTAATTGCTTTGAATTAATGGTGGGTAAGAACACAAGGTCTTGTACTCATGGGACGAAACTCAAAGAAATAAAAATTAGAAAATTTAAAAGTTTTGTCCCATGACTACAAGCCCTCGTAGCAGTTCAAGCATGAAATTTATACGCCAAACGTCAACTTCAAACGCCAAATCTTAATTTACTGCTTTGCCTTTGGTGAATGGCATGACTAGTGGTTAATTTGCTTTCTTAAATCATTGCTAAAGAGCACAAGTTTAATAAGTTGAACATATTTAAAAACTGGTGTACAAGCTATTGTAAAATCGAAAACCTCGCTAGCGGTTTGACGTTTGCCGTAAACGTCAATCTAAAGGTCTCTAAATAACGCTCTACAGGGTGTCTCAAAAAAACCCAAAATCATTGAAATAACGTATTGTTCGAATTTCAATGCCGTAACACAAAGGATTTTGACAGGGTGATTAATTTGTTTTAAGAAATTAAAATATCTTTGTAAAGTGAACGTTTGTTTGCTCATGGGAATTTAAAAATGCTTCGTAAATTGTAATATGCGTAATA